TAGCAAATGTTAAAATTTTGTAGTCGAAGAAAAATACTCCAAAATTTGGCATAAGCAACTTAAAATAAGAATGCGCAGTGAAAAACAAGATTTGTGTCTAAAGAACGTTTTCTCAAAGCATTGAATTAATTCTTATTCGGTAGTGGTGGCAGTTGTTGGGGTAGTGGAGTTTCTGGCGCTTAATCTGAAAGTTTGTGATGCATCAAACACAAGTTAGATAATATATACTCTAGCGCCAGAAAAAAGTTAAAATCTAAAGCAGAGTTATGTGATCTAATAATGCAAGGACGTATACTGAAATGAAAAAAGTATATGAAAATTTAGATGATGACTTCAAATGTAAAACAAAGGTAAAAATCCTATTTTGAATCATTTTGAATAGCACTGCAAGTTACTACGTTAAAATTATTGAAATTCTAATTATTTCACGTGATTTCCTCAAATTTTGTTACATCAAGATCAAATAGTCTAGATATGTAGCATTAAGAAGGTCGTATTTGTTGGCGTTTTAGATTTTACATGTAGTTAAAATATTAAATATGACGGAAGATAAAAATTGTGTGTCTGTTACAACTAATAAGATCCAAAATTAATGCAGATCCAGAAAAGAATGTATCTGTATTACTTACAAGTTTCATTTGCTTTCAATTCGTTCTTTGATATTATCCGCTATGCGTAATAATAAAGAAAAAATGAATAATTGTTTGACGGATAGTTTTAAGAAACAAGCATCCCCCCCCAAAAAAAATAGAGTGTTGCGTAAAAAAAATTTAAAGAGAAAACAAACACATTGCTAGATTTTTGCGCGCTAATTTAAAAGGAAAAAAGCCTTTAAAAGAAAAACAAAATTCTTAAAAAGTGCATGATTACTTTTCATTTGCTCTTGCACTGATTACAAAGATTAAAATATTCAGTTGTTTATTTCCTTTTATGTCACAATTCATGGTTTTGTAATGTATAAACTAAAAGATCTTTCAGTGTTTAAGAAATTCCTGTTTAAGAAGGAAAATTTCTCATTATCCAAAACTTTAGTTTTATTTTTTAAACCAAGGATTTTTCTTAGAAAACAGGTTTTAATTAACTTAAAACTTCCTAAAATTGTAGCTTATTAACTCGATTCCCGCTGGCAAGCTCCATGCAGTCAACAGATACTCAACAAATGATTCTTTTTCGGATTTTGTAAAACTCCATTTATATTTTCTGCTAATTAGCTTAAATGTTAAATGCAAATATTCGAAATGTGTTAAAATCGACTATTCAAGGCATTCCGCGCATATTCGAAGCTATTTTGTTGCCCTTAATTTTTAGGTGAAAGGATGATAACCATTTTGAAAAACGCACAGGTAACCTCAGGCATCCGAAATAGCAAAAGAGTAAATATTGCGGAATTGCAATAATCAATATTTTTGTTTTAATATTTTACTTTTTTTATTTTCGTTGAATGTCCTACATTTTTAATGCTTTATATGCATGCTGTTTTTCAATTAAAATTTCTTTTAGTGTATTTCTAAATAGAGGGTTTTAAGCGAACGCGTATGTTTATTTACAATATTAAATTAGTACATGCCTTTTAGTTCTTTGTAATTTTGAGTCTTTGTGTAAAATTGGTTTTAAATTTCTTATATATATATATTATATTTAAATATATATAAATATAATATATTATATATAATATATAATTATATATATATCTTTTATATATATATTGTATCTTATATATATATATACATATATTAGCTTACTTGATGAGTAACTTCATCTGATCATGAGTACATTGAATTTGATTCCTTATATTCTTATTTTGACCTCTAAAATATTTATTTATTTACTTATCTCTCGATATTTCTAATGAGGAACATTTCTCGGAAGTGGGATGGTTAACGTTTTTATCCTTTTATTAGATTTCCAAATAATTTCTCGAACCTGCACTGATATCTTTACTCATGCATAGCTATCTTAAAATAAATACATACAATGTTCAGTCTTCCAGAAGTTTGAAAAATTTCTTGCTCTAATTTCTAAAATCTTAGCAAAGTGTTACATAAACTTATTAAACACTTATTTTATAACACAATATTTATTTCGAAAGAACCGTTTTAGAAAATATCTAAATTTTATAAAATTGAAAATATTTTCAGAAATTTCGTAATTAAAATTCATAGGAAACTCACAATGAAAACAGCAAGCTACTAATTTTTTTGACAACATCTATTTTGGGCCATATCGTTCTTGTAAATTTTACAGTCAAGCCTTGAAACGATGAGGGAAAAATCATTCGATAAAATGATAGAAATATAACGGTTTTCAAAACCAAAGGGTGAACTAAAATTAACATGAAAAGCTAAATCTGTCAAAGAATTTTAATAGTCATAGGAAAATTATCTGTACAGAATTTCTATAAAGAAGTTTTATAAAAATGTCAAATTTGTTTCACCATTTCAAATAGATTTTTTTAAAGTAAAGTTGCATCCAGAAATGTGAATGAAAACAATTTGATATTAATTTTATTTCTGGATGCACAGTTTTTTAAATTTATGTTCATAAATTTAATGTACTCATTATGCTTTGTTTTCTTGTAAATTGTTTTATTTTTTAATATATTGTATCCATAATAAAAACTCTAAATGCATAATTTGGGCTTAACTGGCTTATGTATATTCCGTCATTTCTGAGGATGCAGTTTTACAATTTTAACCCTAATTTTGTTTTCGTTTTTTTATACTGATTATTTACTTACTTATTTATCTTTTGCTGTTTCATCATAACAAGTAATTTTCTTGTGTAATGTATTTTCTTTCAATACTCATGTTCATTATTTTTTTTCCTGCAGTGATTTTTAAAACTCTAATAATAAGGTTTATTTCGAATTTTATATTGTGCTTGTTACATTTTAGTTTTATCTTTTTGTATGTATAATTTTCTGTAATTTAAAAAATATTAGGTACTCCATTGTAGTGAAATGAAAACGTGTAATAATATTGCAAATATCAGCTTTTGTTTCAATGAAACAATGTAAGAAGACTAGTTCTTTTTTTTTTGTTTTCTACGTTACCTGTCGTGTGTGACGAAACTTCAATTGCATATCCTTTACAAAAAAATCGTCGAAAAGTGAAGCTTGTGCGTCAACCTTTGCTACGGGCAAAATATGAAATTAAATAAAAAATAATGGCTTAAATTGTTATTTGCGGTTTCAACTGGCAGTGCCTCACGCGCTGGTACAGAAATTAGCCGCTGGGAAAAGAAACAAGTAATGTATGAAAAAATAATGCTTTTGGATATTTTCAACGGCAAAGTTACTTTGACACGAGAAGAAAAAAAAAACAAACAATAGATTGATTCGAAAGACAGGAGAAACAAATTGGTAAAAAATGTCCGAAAATGATATAATGATCTTTCAGTGCTCAACTTTTCACTCAACTAAACTCAGTAAAGTAATTCAGCCAATGCTATTATCGCAGAATTGTATCAAGAATTGGAACTACTGTAACAAAAAGGAAATGCGTGACCAACTGGATACATATTAGGATAGGTCAAGTACCTTCAGCGACAAATCTAAGTAGTCAAGAAATGAAAAGCATGGAAGCATTTATTCTTTCTCTAAGGAGAAAAGGCGCAACAAGGCACTCGCTCATCCTACGCGTGTGTTTTTAGATTTGATATATTCCAAAATAAAAAAAAAATATTATTAATAACAGGTCGAAAATAAATGAATATACTATAAAATTTATGCAGATCTAAAATATAGAACATTTAGAATTTGATTTTCAAAATTAACATTGCTTTGAAATCATGAATAAACACATCAGAATCAATCTTTAGAATTTGGTTGGAAAAGAAGTATTTTCATTACCCAAGTTAATTAAAATGTCCAAAACTAATAACAAAAAACTTACTTTCTCCCTGAATAAACTTATTAATGTGTCATTATTGTCGAACACGAACTTTGCATAGTTCAAAATACAATTTTTGAATAATCAGTGAACATAATTGTTTATCAAAAGTTATTAAACATCCTATTAATGACCATAAATATCAAGGCCTACTCCAAGAATAGGTGACGTAGACAGCTACTTGAGACCCTATTTTTAAAAATGCCATTTAAATTGTTCTAGAAAACAAAAACGAAATAGAGATATATTTTGTATTGAGTTGTTGAAATATTTAATTTATACGGGCGCAAATTTTCTAATCACTAAGGCTTCCAAAAATTCCGGGTCTGATGATTGCCTACAAGCAAAAGCGTATCCTATAACCAAACTTTTGGTGCTTGGTTGAAGAAATGTAATGAAATGAACATTACCAGAAATTTACCTTTGTTAGTTAAAAAAAATAGTGATCAATTTAATAATAAAAATAATATTTTTAAATGGTTAATTTATACTGCCATAAAAGGTTTTAAGAATATTTATATTTTCTTTTGGTGTACTATTACATTATTAAATAATTGAACTATAAATTTACGTCAAGTAATGTGGTGCCTATCGTAAGAAGCTATTGCAGTAGGTTATGTGAAAAGATTTTAGGGATCACCCAAATATTTGTTATTTTTATCACAAATAAATAATAATTTATACGTTATAAGAAAAATTTGTCCTTCTTAGTAACTGAATATTTACTAGGTTATTACAAGTATTTGAGTAATACTTTTAATAGCTGAAGTAACAATAGGAAAATATTTAAGAATGATTTATTTTTTATATTTAGTTTTTGCAGCTAATAAGCGCATAATCATTTCTCTGTTATTTTCTATTCATATGACAGTTTTTAGACTCTTCGATAAATTTTGGAATCATCATTCTCATTAATTTACATAATAATTATATAATTTACATATTCTAAATAAACAGATAAGCAAAAAAAGCCAAAAACATCAGAAATATTTCTTTTGTTACGATCTTGCGTTTTCCGCTCTTTTACATACTTGATGTAAATCTAAGTTTTTCTATTGAATAACTAGCACACGAGTAAAATTTAGAATTACTTTAATGGAAACAACTTACCTGCTTTGACCACTATTATAACGCTTCCATTTTTAGCTCGATATGGTAAGAAGCCAATAAAGTTCTCACGAAACACATTATGGACAACATCATTACTTTCAGAATCGTAAAAGCTCTTTTTCAAACGTAGTTTGTATGTGTTCTGAACCATCTTGAATGCTCTATCCACGTCATACTTCTTTCCTCTCAAATAAGCCAAGAGACAAGCATCGTCCATTCGGACGAATAAATTCTTTTCAGCTGCGAAAGAAATAAAAATTAAAGAATTAAAAGAAAAATTCATAACAAGTTTCTTGACTTTGTCGTTTACCTATCAGCCGAATAAATTTTCTCCATTACTGACCACACTTTATTGAGAAAAATGCATATATTAAATTTTAAATTTATTTCATTAAGAGAGAATTTGCCCAAGGATTCTAACGATGAATTAAAACAGCCATTCATAAAAAAATATTTATTCAGATATAAAGTACTTCACTTTCAAAATAGCAAAAAAAGAATAAAAGTAATTTAATAAGCAGAATAGATTGTTTACACGATTTTAATGAAAGTATGTGAAACTTAAGTCTGTGGAAAACTTTTAAAAATTTAATATTAAGTGTAAAATATTTTGGGGCAGCTGAACCTGAAAATGGCATTAGGGTTTCGCTACCCCTCGTTAATTTGATTCCGGTTTATGTCAAAAGTTTCTTGACTGGTGCATTCTTTCGCATGGCATATTGAGCTAAATAAACAGTTAATTGAATGAAATATTTCAGTAAACAATAATACGTGAAAAAAGTAAAATAAATATTTATTGCGGATATTAAAATACAAATATTTACATAGAAAGAACTCTTAGTTAATTTTGATTTAAACTTGTCCTGTTTATTTATAAAACTGCATTTATTATTCTTTATGTAGTATGATACTTTGGAATTTCGCTGTTTAACATCCATATATAATCTGCAGTCATATTATTAACAATCCGCTCATTTCGGCTTATTTTTTCTTTTTCTTAACCCCTTGGCGGCTAAAATCCTGTTCTTGCTTGGTATTTAATTGTATCAAAGTCTATATATGAATTTGAAAATTAAAATGCTTTAACTGAACAAGCAGCTTCAAGACCTTTTTCAGTTCATCTTTAAATAGAGTCATACAGTCAAGATGCCGCCCAACCGGTGTAGTGGTTAACGTCGCTGACTGCCGTGCCGAAGGGCCCGTATTTGCTACTCTTTTTAAATTAAAGAGCGTTATTTTAATTTATTTATAAAATTATTTAAATGTTATTGAAGAATATTAAAATTCAGCACTGCTAAAATATAAAATGTACTCTTAATTACTTAAAAAATTTTCAAGTTTAAAATCAAACCCAAAATAAAGTTTTGAGACTTTAATTAATTATAAAGAAAAATTTTAAGCAAGCGAATCAGTTTCAGATTTTATAAATTTAAATATATATTTTTAATTAAAAATATTTTTTGGAAAACTAAAAAAATTACACATAATATAAAATATCTTGTTGTTAAAGGGAAACTAAAGCTTGCAATTTAATAATAAATTTAGAGGAACGAGCAAGTGAGTTATTTACCTTCTTAAAATGAATAAGATTTTTGTCAAAAAAGTTATTTCACATTAAATAACAAAATAAAATAGAAAGGAAGAAATATTTAGAATTTTTGAATTAAAATGCATTTAAATGCATACATGTATACCTAAAGACAACATAACCTAATACTTGCATAACTTTTTTAATTATTGTTTGGGTGCATAAATTTAGAGACACAGGGAAAAAATCATGCAACTTAGTTGAATTCACAAGAATTTCAAGAACAGAACGGAAATTTATACAGAAAAAATATCGAAAATGTAGAGTAAGTAATACTTTTTCCAATGTGTAGAACGATGTAATTAAATGTGACCTGATTTTATATTTCTTTATATCTTCACTGTATTATTACAACGACTATTGTTAATTACTTGTAATAAAGGTTGTGTAGTCTAGAACCTCTGTGGCAAACACGTATGACAATAAGAAAAGAGGAATATTAAAGAAGTTTTGCTTTCATTAATTTTCAAACGAACATGTGATAGAAAACGTGATGTTTTCCCGAGGATCGTCCAGTCATCAGGAAGTTGTTATTTACAAAGCTTTAATTGGGGCGCCCTTTGATACTTCAATATACACCGAATGCCTCGGCATTGATCATTATACCACAGCCCTAGATCTTTCGGCCAGTTGACAGTTGATGGATGCGGTACTTGTCAAAAAGATTAGTTCCGAAGAATTTTTAGTATTAAGTTTGAATTTCCGTAAGGAACTCAGTTATTTCTTCTGTTCCGTTTCTAAATGTTTTCGATTTATTATGTTAACGTGTTTTGAGATATTCAGAATTTAGTCATTTTTCCATTGAATATAAACTTTGCCATTTATCATTGTCAGATATGTGTGAAGTAGTAAATATTCTGGTATTCAGTCTCTGTGAAAATCATCTTTGTTATATAATCAGAAGAATGCGGCAAAAAACGTGATTTTTCCTTTAAGAGAGAAGAGAAAAAAATGTATTATTTGCGGTTTCTTCTCGACATGCGCATTCAAAAAGCTGTGTCACGAATTGTTTGTATTATTTCCCCAAATTCTTTCACGAGAAATAGGACGCAGTAACAAAGAGAAGAACATTTAACCAGATTTCTAGATAATTTTGTGCCAACATGAAGTTTTGAATGATAATAGTCTGTTTAGTTTTCTCATTAAATATTTGAGAACTCTGAAAGTATGCTTTCTTTCTTTATAGTTAATTTATTACTATATTTTCCCATTATTTTATTGCTCTAGAGCTAACACAAATTTTATGAGATATATATTTCATACTAACACTAAATTATCCGAGCCAAAGGAAGTTTGCATAAACTATAGTTTTTGTTTTATTAACCAGGTCTTAATTAGAGAATTATAAATGTGCTTTCTCATTCGTTACAGCTAATTTACTACTATACTTTCCCATTATTTAAGTACATACTACAATTAACATAAACTTTAAGAGACATGATTGATAATAGACTGTAGATTTTCTGAACTAAAGGAAATAGAGCTATTATGGGCAACGCAATATACCACTCCACAAATCACGAAAGCTATTTTTGGAGGGCAACGAACGTACAAATGAATAGAAAATATTAAACAAAATTGTATTGCATAATACATTTACATCTCTATATTACTCTAAATATTTGAAGTCATTTGATTGCATTGCTGTTTTAATGTACTGTTATAATATTATGAATGGTTTTATTTAGTTATGTATTTATTCGTTGCTCTTACATAGATAATTTTATGATTTATTTTGCTTGTAAATATGTTTGTAGCCACGTATTGTGTACGTAAGTATTTATTTCGTACACAAAACTATAGATTTTGGAATTTTGAGTCAAAGTACGTTTAAATTGTAAAACTAGCTACACTCGAACCTGACGAACCTGACGAGACTTGGTAACATTTAACGATTTCTCGCCAATTAGATTACTTTCTGGAACTTTCGGGAAAATACATGTTCAAAGGTCTACGAAGAGTTTTCCCCTAAGCTTGCAGAAGGCCATTCTAACTCAGAATAATGCCTCTGTTATACTAGACTCTTGTTCATATTGCACTGTATAAGTACTGCTTCGAGAGCTAGAACAGATTAGCTGTTAATGAGCTGTGCTTCAAAGAGAATTAGATGAATTTCGTTTTAGAGTTATTGCTGTGAATGATTTCGGGATTGATCACATTTTTGGTGCTCCAAGGAGAAATTACGTAATATCAAGTAGTCTTTGAACTATTTATATCTATTTTTGAGTTGTGTATCAGTAATTTGTATAATAAATTGCCAATTGCTTCCTGATTATGTGGGTTGATTATTTAAAGGGACATCAATGAACGTGTAGGCCGCAACAGCTGGTGTCAGCATTGTAGATACCTACGAATGCCTGTAATCAGAAAGATGCAAGAGTAGCAGAGATACATAAATGATTGCTGATTCCGAAAAAAAGCAACAGCGAATTCAGTGGAAATAAAGTGCACCGTAGAAGCGAATGTAGGAGGGAAGGAAGCAGAAGAAATGAAACAAATTATCTAATTTTTCAGCCGTTTATAAAGTGAAAAACCATGAAAGCAGCAGGTACTGTTGAAATCAGGAACAGTATTATTTCTGTCGAAGGGAAAATTGCCAGTGTTGCGAATGAGAGAGTAACCAATATAAAAAAATTAATTAAAAGATTAAGAAAGTTACTTCAGAAATTTCCATATTTATGAGAAAGAAATTTTAGTACTAGAAAAGAACGCTCTGAAAACGATTTGATCTGCAAGCAACGTCTTCAGTATACCCTTCATGAATGACTCTCTGCTATGAACAACATCTCGATTCACTCTGCTCGGATCATAATCTTTCGTCATATGACAGAAAGTCATCATGGAACATATACGAAGTACAATTTGGAATGGCTTCGAAGGCAAATTAGTGGGATAAAGAGTTTGTAATGTTTATCCTAAATTTTTAAAATTATCTTTAATTAAAGCTACGTTCAAGTCCCTCCTAATTTCAGCTTACAATTTCCTACCAGAATGTGGTTTTAGAATCAAGGTTAATGCAAGTGAGTAAGAGCGTATTTAAGTCGAAGTTCCTCTGACGTTTAGAGAGCCAGAGTTTCTGACTAGCGCAGGTTCTTCTTTTGGCTACACTCTCTCTAAGCTATTACTACACTTGGCCGTATTTCAGGCCCTTTATAGAGTCGCCAACTTGGTTGATATTTAGGAGCCAACTACTTCGAAATCTTGATAGTTTTGGCTATATCTTTTTAGTTAAGCTTTAGTTAAGTTTTATTTCTTATTACTTTGAGTTCAAGCCCAAGTAGAAGCTTTGCTGTACGTCCTGAGAAAGGGACCATCTGTTAAATTCTCATTTTTAAAAGTAAAGTGTAATTAACCCTTCTCAAGTTTTACGTTTATTTTTCTGAACTAAAGTGATTATTCGCTTACCTGTTCACGAGGTTCCTACACACTTAGCTGTTAGGTAAAAGGTTGAAATACTACAAGTTTAATTTGGCTGCAATTTATGATAGATTGCTGCTGACATTTTATAGAGGCTTCCAGCTGAAAAAGGGTTCAGATACTGACGATTTAGTTAATCGCGGTTTGAAGGAGCAATTCTCAAGAATCATTTCCCACTGCAGCTCGAAATCAGACAGCAAAAAGTGGAACAGGCTCTTATATAAAAATTAACTAG